CGTTCGCACATTCGATTAATCCGTGGTAATATTTTCTTATTACAAAGTATCCAAAACATTATTATTTACAAATCTAATGCCTTATTCTATCTATTTTACAAATTCTCGCTCAAATATTAAAAATTCACGATAAAAATCTCAACTTTTATTTTTAATTTTTATAAGGTTCTTATTGATTTGATTGATCGGTTTAATAGTTTTAAAAAATCATTAGAGTGCTAGATTTATAAATAACATTATTATGGCCTTGGATAATATTCCATTTTATATTTCTAGTTTAGGTAGACGTCAATTTTGAAATGTTAATTCCTATATATACTTTATATGTACCTACCAACATTATTGATGAGAAGAAAATTGATGTAATGTAATATCACTCGTATAATCAGGAAAAAATTATTACGCGCGGCTGATCGTATGTTCGTACAATAGTTTAGACGTGATCATGCCGTCATTAATCTCACAAAGGCCCATCCGACCCGTCATTTGAACGTGCGACCATCATACATAATAATTTCTCTATAACCACACATGCAAGCGGAAGTGGCGGAGTGATCAAATATTAAGAGTTATCATATATTGTGCTACATAAATGAAATTATTTGATGGTGATATGTGATGAAAATTGATGTGGTTAGACAAAAAAGGCGGCAAGTTTTATATATTGCAAACTTGCCCTTGATTTTTTTTTGGAAAAATTCCTAATATTCTTTATTTTTTTAACCATTATTACATATTTGACATTGAGATATATAAGACAATAAGAGTTATTATACCAGTGGTTGTCAAATTAGTGTTAGCCACACAAGTCGCCTTTGTTTTTGTTCTAGATGTGTTAATAGGGCCTACTCAAGAAAGAGTTCATCCAACAAATTTTCTATGATTATGAGTCACAATCTTTATAATTTATTACAGATATTTTTGGGAGAACATTTAACACATTTTACATGCCGGCTAAAATAACTCGATCAAAACCTATTGATAAGTTTAAATGCACCTCAATTGGCTTATTCTTGATTTTTATATATGTTATGTGTTGGAAAATTCATGACGGTAGAATGATAATTTAACGTTTTAGTGTTCCACAAAGATTCAACACAGTCACAGGTAAAAGAAAATTGGCAGGATGAGATGCCAAAAGTTTTCTGTGTAGAAAACTTCTGTAAAGCAAAAAAATTATGGGGCGTGACGTAGTCAAAGTAATATTCTATTTGCTTGTGGCTATAATGTGACACTCTTCTCTCACAACTGAAAGAACAGAGTTATAATATCATAATTTTAGTCGTGTAGTTTATTCTTGTTCCATTTACACCATTATTTTTGTCTCATTCACTTGAATGCGCAAAATTCATAAAAATTATTCACCTTTATTTGAAAATGATTTAATTTAATAGGACATTTGTTAATAAAATTCATTGATGATAAAGAAATGGTTGTCTATGTTAACAAGAACAATGATCATGTTTTAGTGGGGATCTTTGCCTTCCTAGAAATATATAAATGCAACCGGTGTGACTAATCAACTCATTAATCTCTAATTGTATTTAACACACAACATAATAATAATAAGTTTATTATAAGTCATTTTATAAGATAGAATAAATATGCGCTTAACAAATATCGGTTATACTATCTATGTTTAAGTATCATATATGGAATACAAATCATAATCAAAGTAGATCATTTTAGTAGTCTATATTGTAAAAAGCATTGCGGCATGGCACTAATAATATATGCCATACATTTATATTATACTAGTTGTGCATTATGGGCTTTTATGGCTATCATATTAAGTGGCGTTTTTCAATATAAACTATCATAAATAAATTTTTATCATTTAATATGTATATTGATGTATTTTTTTTTCTTAGTAACAAATATTCCTAATTCAAATTTAAGATCTTCGAGGCCCCGTTTTCAACAAGTTTATGGTTGAATTGACTGTCTCCATGAGATGAACCCAATGATACCGAAATTGATTTGATTTGGGTTCAATCAAGCCTAGATTAAGTCATCAAGACACAACTTGGAGGTTTTTAATCGTCAATTAAATGCTCAAATGGACTCAAAATTTGACATTTTTATAGTCAAATTGAATGCCTTGACGAGAGGAACCCAATGAGCCTAAGCTCGTTAAATTCAGAGTTCATCATAGGCACAAAATTCCTTAAAATATTCATTATTTTCAAAGGGATCAATCAGATCAGATTGTTGGAGAAGTTTTTCACAAAAAAAAAAAACCCCTCCCTCATAGGCTACAAATAGAATATCTCTCTTCACTTGAGAGGAGGAGAAGAAGATAAGGAATTCCAAAGCCCGTTATGCATTGAAGACTTGACGATAACTTCCAACATTAGTTGTCTTTGACTAGGGTTGATCATCACCCGTTGGCCACTGTTGACCACCGTTTGCAATCCTTATTTGCCGCTGTTGAACTCCTGACAATGTCGACCCCTAATTGTAAACGTCATATCTCATATACGAATGTAACATGTTACACTTTTCTGGAAAAAAAAAACAACGATAATTTTGGTCTATGTAGGTGCCAACCACCATCAATATCCACCACTGCTGACCATCAGCCACTGACGACCACTGCTTACGACCACCATAGTCAGAATACAACAATTGTTCCTAACACTTGTGTTTTTTTTAAACATTGTATATTGTCAAGTATTGTATCTGAAGTAAACTAGTAGTCTAGTTCTCCTAGTGGATTACTTTGGCTGGGTTGTGCCCACCGATGTTTTTTCCCTCTCCACATTTTTCTACTTAAGAACAAATCTTAATGTCTCTTTCTATTATTTTTTTTATTATTCGTGTGTCGGTTCTTCATGCAAAACTATAATATTAGACTATCACTTTATTACCGTGAATATTCCTTCATGCAACAAGGATAAAACCTAAGTAAATGACACTCCTTTTAACCAAATATGCAAGACATTTCATAAAAAAATTATAAGACATAATAAAAACTATAAAACATACTTAAATTAAAAAGATATAATGCATACATTAAGAATCACATTTGATACTTTCCTTCGAAGATCACTTAAAGATTGAATTGATACTTTACTCAAATTGAGTGCATTTCAACATGCGATACTTGCAGGGTCGGTTTGGTATTTTACGGCTCTCTTCCACCTGTCTGGCTGTCTCATGTGCTCAACATGCGATACTTGCAGGGGCTGGAACATAAATAAAAATTTAATGTGTCGTATATAAATAAAAATTTATTTATTAACAATTTAATTGTTAAGTAATAATGTTTATTTTTATTAATTTTTATATTGTATTTAAGAAAATAGGAAATTTTATTCAGTTAAAAAAATTATTTGGGTAATTTTAGGCGTTGAATAGGTAAATATATAGATTTGTTAAATATATAAATATATTGATTTGCCGCCCCCCATATAAATAGATGAGAATTGGATGGCATGCATTTAAATGTTGCAAAGGTTTGCCTAAATTTTAGTCCCACATCTTATATTTTATATTTGGAATAGTACAGTGTTCCTTAAAAACAAAATAACAGTTTGCTAGCTCACGAAAATAAATAAACATGACTTCTTTACCCCGCTATGTTGAATAATTTGAACACATTGGGCCAAATTCGAACACATTGAATCGAGTATGAATATGCGAACAATTTTGAGCACGATTTTATTTCAAATAGAAACAAGTTCAAACGAGTTGAATATGAAAATGAGCTCAACTCTTTCATGTCAGCTTGTTTACACCCCAAACTCCAATAACATGTACACAAGATGCATATTCTGCACATAGCTACAAAAAGGATCAAAGACAAATATACCTGCACCAGCATCATCGAGCTCCTTCAAACAATCATCAGAGTTAGGGTTTCCTTAAATCCCACTCAAACACTCGGTTCTTCCTCTAACACACCGATTCCACAATCCACCTCAAACATTGCTAACCCCAGCAACCTGCGTGCGCTGTGCCCTGCAATATCTGCTACAGAGAAAACGAGTGTCAAAAAGGATCAAATGCGTTGATAACTTAATTGTTATCATGAGATGAGATAGAAAATCTCTTGGTGGAGGGTGTTACTTCTAGTTTGGGGCTCCTTTTTTTCTCCTCAACGAGAATCTCAACTCGCTCTCATTCGACTCGTTTACATATAAATACTTGCTTCCCAATTTTCAAATCCCACCACTCAATTACTTTTTATATAAATCTAATTCTAAATAAAACAAGTATTTCTTTCTCTCAATTAATTCAATTTAATTAATAAAAAAGTAATTATTTTAAAATCAAGTTCTAATAACTATAAGGGGGGTTGATGCTCTTTTATAAACTCTAGGACTAAATAGGCCCCATATAATTAGTCAGAGATAATTTGGCACTTTACTATTTACATCTATATCTTTTAAATTTCCAATATCATATTATTATTATTATTATTATTTAATTTTTTAAAATTAAAATCAATATATTAACTTTAAAATGTTATAAATATAAATATAAAAATTTAAATATCAAATATATATAATGCAAATTAACATAGGAAGCACCTAATTCTTATGTATTTACTTATCTCACACATAAAGTTTAATTTTTACAAACTAAGTACATTTTTCTATATTTGAAAGTATGTATGAAAATGTGAATTATATCTAGAAATAGAGTGTTTAGTTTATAAAAACTAAAGTTTATGTGTCAGATTAGTAAATTCATAAGAATTGTGTGGTATATATAAAAATTTTTAAAAATAAATTAATTATGATGGGCTCGTTCAAAGAATATCCCTAAAATAAAAACAAATAAAGCGAGAATATGCCTCAAATTTGACGCTTTCTAATCATGTACGCATCTACATCCATCGCCATATCAATACCATATATATCCTAAATATTGTCATTAATGAATTTATAATTATTATATTAATCACTAAAAATAAAAAATTGATTAATTAACTAAAAAACTATTTTATTTTAGTTTTTATCTACAATTATAAAACAAACCCTCTTTCTCACTCTTTCTCCGTGGAGGGAAAAAAGAGCCCCAAAGTAGAAGTAACACCCTCCACCACCAGATTCTCTCTCTATCTCATCCCTGCATAGCAATTAAGTTATCGACGCATTTGATCCTTTCGATACTCGTTTTCTCTGTAGCTTATAGGGCACAGCGCCCGCAGGCTTCAGGCGTTAGGAGCGCGGAATCGGGGTGCTGGAGGATTCAGATGAGGAGAACCGAAGGTTTGGGTGGGGTTTCAGGAAACCCTAACCCCGATGATTGTTCGAAGGAGCTCGGTGCAGGTCTGTTTGTCTTTGTTTTTTTTTGTTTGTTTGTAGTTGTATGTGGAATTTGCGTTTTTTGTTTTGCTTACGTGTTGTTGTAGTCTGGCGTGGTTTGGTGGATCTGCTGCGGTGCCGATGTTTCGTGGTGTTTCAGGGAATTTCTAGGTTTTTGTGGTTGGATCTGTCGGGGATGCTAGGGAAGCATTTTTGTGACTGGTGCTTTTTTTGGGATAGCGATACCGAATTTGGGTTTGTGACGCCGCGTATTGGCGGCTGTTCCGGTTGTATCTTGCTTTGTTTTTGATGAATTGAGATTGGATTGTCTTAAGCATCCAACGGGCCTTTTCCTGTTAGCTGATGACTCGGGGTTTTACTTTTGGTTGATTTCGATCTTTGTCTATTGTGCAGAGCTTTGTTGTCTATAGTGTTTGCATTTATTTTGAAAGCTTTTTCAAGTTTTGGTCGTATATTTGTTATTGGTCCTTTTTTTGTTTCTGCATATTGAATTCTGGATTTGTTTGATTTGTCTTCTTTTAAATAAGAATTGAGATGTCTTTTTAGGTCATATTTCCTGTTCCTCTTCCTAGTATCGTCCTTTTGCTTCCCTTATGCTTAAGAACTAAAGTGGAATTTGCGTTTCAGCTACAAGGCTATTTTATTGTCTGCTTTTAAGCGTATTTTCTCCTTTTATTGTTTTGTAGTTTCACTTGATTTGTGTATCTAATCGTTCTATGTAGCTGCTTTTGTTATTTTTCTTTTGTTAATTGCCTTGTTTTTTAGTTAAATTGTTCAAATCTCATTATGATATTTACTATGTGGAGTGCTTTTTTTGTGTGCAGATAATGCTTGCTTTGATTCTTCTCAATATGCATTTTTTGGTAAGGACGCCGTGGAAGAAGTCGAATTAGGAGGCGTAGAAGATGATGAAGATGCGGCTGCACTGGTTCGTGACCTTGGGATTGATGATGAAGAGTTCAATTTTTCATTTTTTGGTGGTAGAGGAGAGGTGATCGTCTATCATATATAGGCCACATGGGTGACCACTGAGTTTGTTTAAACTTTGTTTCTTTATTGGATATCTGAAGCTTAGGAAATATTTGTTTACTTGATTTTTCTTTAGTGCCAAACCATGCGGCGATGCTTGTTTGGATTTATGTGGGATAGCTTTACCCGTTTTTATCTTAGAGAACAACGTATTTAGTTGTATGTTGTTTATTTATTTATTTAGTTGCTGCATCTCAATGGGCTATTTTGGAATATGCGTATTGAATCACTTTTACAACAAATTTGTTTTCTCTATTAGCAGATTGGTAGTAATATTCATCATTTTATTTGATATTTAATCATTGATTTGGTGTAATTTTCGGTTTTGTCGAAACTTTTGATGTTTAATCTTCACGTGGCAGTAGCTGCAGTTATATTTTACACTTAGTATGGTGGCAGTGCTTTATCTCCATATGTTCTTTAACTACTTGCCACCTGGAACAATATCTGATTGCTACATATGCAATGTTTCACTAAGTGCATTATTTGCTTTGCATCATGATTGAGCTTTAAAGAATAGTATATGGTGAAAATAAATTCAATTTGTGAAATGTATATTTATTTGCATCTATTTTAAAGAGTTTCACATGCTGTTATCATACCTAGTCAGCATTCTTTGAAATTTCTTATTCTATGACCTTTTCATCTTGATTGGACCAGGTATTTTCTTTTGTTTCATGCTCATTCATTTTTGGCCTTTTATCTTGTTTATGTCCACGACCAATCTAGTAGGTGTGAAGTCTAAGTTGATACTAAAGTGCTGTCTTATGTTAGGGGAATTAGAGAAAAAAATGTTGTGGAAGTTATGGGGCTGAGATTTCCATGTGATTATTCCTATTGCTGGTTATATTATTTAGCAGATTGTTTAAAATAGCTAATGTGGTGGATGATGGGAAGAATTAAAGGACAATTTGCTAGATTACTTTAGGAAAATCCGAATGGTGAATAAGATGAACTTGATTGATTTTTTCAATATAAGGTCTGATTTTTCAAGTTTAACCACAAGTTCTTAGGTTTAATTTTGCTTGGTGTTTTGGTGATGTTTTTGATTTTTGCCTTCCATACAAAAATGTAAATGTAAATATTTCACTAATTCAGCTCTTTCCATGACAACATATTTCATATTTATGACTTTTCAAGTAGTTGAAATTTTTATGTAAGCTGATCTCGACTTTTCATGATGTCTTATTTTTTAAGAAGTGCAGATTTATTTTTTTCACTCTCCTGACAATTAAGTAATGAGACGATATGTTAATCACAGAACTTCTTTATTCATCAACATGCCATATGCTAGAAGAATGAAACTTTCATGAAATTCATGAGGGACGTTGTTTTGTGATCTTGAAGGATTCTGTAATTTGCGCATGACTGGGTTAAAGGGAAAATATAAATAGAATAAACAAAGAAGTATAGAGTAAGGCGGAGGGTTTTAGAGAACAGTGACCCGATAGCAAAATATAACAAAATTCTTATACATATTAGCAAAATTTCCTCTTGCTAAAACAATTAAGATTTGATGGGTCAAACTGAATCATGCAATACCTGTTTATTATCCAAAAAGGTTTTTGCATTGATTGTTTTAGGATATTTGGCTTCATTTAGGAAAAAAAGATCAAACCTTATTTGAAAAAGTGAGTCGATTCAATGTTGTCATTCCCATTTGTTTTGGTTCTGTTATAGCCTTCCATCATGATCGGTAATCACATCTCTCACTCAAGGGTGGTTCCTACCAATCTCATCTTGTATCTTACAAATACTAGTTACCAACTTGTTTCTTATTCTTTTTCTCTTGGTTTCATAAACTGTTCTGAGCACCGCAATAAGTTTGATCAAAGAAGCTTGACAAAAGCACGTGCTAATTTGACTATTAGTTCAATTTTCTCAAACTTTTTTTTACATTTATTTAATTATCAGGAAAACTGAACAGAAATCAATAAGCAACTTTTAAAATTTTTTACCTTTTCTCTTCACTTCCATATAATTATTTTAGTGTCTTATTTCTTCATTTTTTCAATTTTAATTTTAATTTTAATTTTTTTTGTAAGACGCTAGTTTGTCTAGTTTGAAGGCTAACTAAACTTTCTTTTTTGTGCAGGGTGAAATTTTGGGGTCGTTATCTGAAATTGACGACCTTACAACCACTTTTGCGAAGGTTATCTTCTCAAAACTATCCGTTTATGTTTGTATTATTATGCCACATGCATATGGTGTATGCATAGGAAATTATCTTAGTACGACACTGTATGCTTATTCTTTGCAACGACAATTTATGTTTTATATAAGGATTTATTTCCTCAAAGTATTCATGTTTTTCTTGTGTTTTTTTTTCTTCTTTATTTAAGAGCATTATTTTTCTGAATGGCAGTCATCTGAATTGTGACAATTTGCTAGCAACACTCATATGTACTTATGCAGTTTATGCCTCTTTTGCGTCACATAATCCAATATGTGTGCCTATGCAGCTTATGCCACTTTGGGTTACATTATTCAGCATCCGGCACAATTTTCTTGAAAAATGCTTCAGCTTTGCTTAGAATCTTCAGCAATGTTGCTGTCTACCTTTGAAAAAAGGAAAAAAAAAAAAAAAAACCATTCTCTGATGTTGCATGTGAAGATTTGTGTTTAATTTGACTATGGGGCTTGCGAGCTCTGAAGTTTGGCTCCGCTAATTTCTAATAAATAGAATACAATTATATAATTACAGAATTCTCATCTCTTATTGTTGGTGTAAACACATGATTAGAATAAATATTGGATTGATCTTTTTTTTGTAATTTCCTTTCTTTGATATTGCCAAAAAAAAAAATCATTCCAATAATTATTTATCATGTTTTTTACACCAGCAATAAGAGCTGAGAACTCTGCAATTATATAATTGTATTCTATAATTTGTAATTACTTTCCTTTGATATAATTCCTTAATGGATTCCCACATATCCCTTAAATTTCTGAATGATTTGATTCTTTGTTGTACCATTTTCAATCCAACTGAATTGTCCAGTATTGTGGCGTTTATTTTGGGCAGTGTTTCGATGCAACTCTAATTTTTATTGATAAAATTTCTTTCAACTTAAGTATTCCAGTTTTATGTTGTCATTGGCAGCATGAATTCCATACACAAGAGTAAATCTAATCTCAATGTCATTAAATGAATGCAATAGCTTTATAAAGGAATACATAGGTTTCAAAAAAAATAATAATAAAGAGGAGATTGTCCTCAATTTTGAGGATATAAAATCATACCTGCATACTTCCAATACTAGGGGCCTTCCTAGTACTATTAGATGCGTGACGCTGTCTCACAAGTCTCAAGTTGAAGCATATATGTACGCTAACTACAGCTTGTCACATTAGTGAACAAAAGCAGGTTACCTAAAGCTTTGGAAAAGATAATTGTCACTTATATTGAACTTGAAGCATGAGTAACTATTTTATCGAAAAGCATATCATTTCATATGAAATGAAGATTAATTTGTATAATTAGTTAATGGAATACAGTATTGCCAGCTGTGTCATCGGGGGCATGACTATCATATTACGTTGGTTTCAATTTTGTTTCGGTGGGTCTTGGGTTTTGGAATTCAAACTCTTTTAATATTGTTTTTAACCCCATCATTTTCCATACCTAGTGAGCTAAAACGCTGTATTCAACTTTAACATTGAATTTAACTACAAGAAAGTGTTTTTTACCTTTCCAAATGGTTAGATTTCCTTTAACAAAAATATAATATTCTGAGTTTGTTTTTTGTCTTCAACTCAGTTGAGCATCATAATCAACATTTAACAATACTTCAACCTTTAAGTGCTTAGATTTAGTATATAACAATCTTTTTTATTAGAATTTTTGATATATTTGTGAACTCATCGAACGACCTACCAATATTTCTTTATTGAATTTTAAATTTGTTGACTAATTGTGCCAAAGATGAAAGAAATGTTACGCCTACAAAAACAAGCCTTTATCCCACTAATTGTGGGGTCGACTACATGAATCATCCTTCTCCATTATGTCTTATTGAGTAGCATTCTTTCATTTAATTCTAATAAATTAAGATAATTTTTATATTATATGCTCAAGTATTTTCAAGTCTATCTTTGTTTTTCTTAACATAAGTCGAATCAAACCCATCCACTTTTGTAACCAGATCCTCAGATGGCCGACGTTTAGTATGATCAAATCATCTAAAACTACTGTCTCTAATCTTGTTTGCCACTGAAGCTTCACCAACCCTTTCACAAATACATTCATCCGTGTTAAGCCACTCATCCACCTAAGCATTCTCATCTGAGTAACACATAACTTAGTTTTATGCTTTTCTTTTAAAGGCCCGAATTCGGTGCCATAAAGCATTGCAGGTTTCACTGCCATATAATCGGTATTTTTCTATTTTTCCTATAATAGGCCCGATGCTTTTCTACACTTCAACCAACCAACTTGAATTCTATTAATAACATCCCCATCTATATCATCATTACTTTGAGCAATAAATCCAAGATATCTAAAATGATTAAACGTTTTAATGATTTGATTGTCCATAGTTACAATTCTGCCACTATATGTACTACTACTAAAATTGCATTCCATGTATTTAGTTTTAGATCTACTCAAATGATGGCCCCTAAACTCCAATGTGGACCTCCATAATTCATTTTTTTTTTTAACTTTCTCCAGCCTTACCTAGCCTTACCCACAAGAACGATATCATCAATGAAAATCATACACCAAGGTGCATCCTTTATAATTGAATTTTTTTTTGAACTCACTCTTGTCTTATTCACAAGATCATTATTATCAATGAAAAGCATACACCAAAGGTACATACTCATATAATTGTCCATTAAGAGCATCCACAATTAATGCAAAAGATTATTGGCTTAAAGCCAATCCTTGGTATAATCCATCTGAAATAGGAAAATACTTGGTTAATTCTCCTCCAGCTCGAACACAAATAACAACTTTAGTATACATATCTTTGATGAGTTGAATATAAGTCATATCAACACCTTTCTTTTCTAGAACTCGCCAAAGGATTTCTCTTAGAACCTTATCGTAAGCTTTTTCTAAATCAATAAAAATCAAATGTAGATCCTCCTTACTCTCTTTGTACTTCTCCATTAAATTTCTCAATAAATGTATAGCTTCCATAACAGACTTTCCTGACATAAATCAAAGCCGATTGTGAGAAATACTTGTATCGCATTTCAATCAATGTTCAGTTACTCTCTCCCATAATTTTAATGTATGAAAAATTAACTCACTTCCTCTATAATTTGAAACCTCTTGTGCATCATCCCCTTTATTCTTAAAATGGGGGCCAAAATACTCCCTTCACTCAGACATTTTTTTTAGTTTTTAGAATTATATAGTGAGCCAAGAAACTCCCAAATTTTTGGAATATTACCGGGTCCCACAATTTTCCCACCATTGTTTCTTTTAAACCTCCTCAACTTCTTTTTTACTAATGTGGCAGGAAAAATAATTTTTTTTTTGTATTAACAATATTAAGATCACTAAGATCGATTGAATTTTCAAAAACATCATTGAAAAATTTATAAAAATATCTCACCCACTTATGTTGAATATCTTCCTCTAAAAAAGTAATTTTTGATTTTTATCTTTAATAAACTTAATTAAATCTTTACTTTCTTTTTCTTTTGTTTGGCTAGTTTATACATTTTTTTCACCCTATTTAGCATCTAATTAATTGTAAAGATGACTAAAAGTAGAATTCTTTGCGTCATAAGTTATTCTCTTAGACTCCCTACGGACCACCTTATATTTTTCCCGGCTCTCGAATGTTTTACATGTAAACCAATTTTCTTGCACATTATTATTCCTTTGGTAACTATTTTTATTTATAAAACATTTTCTTTTTATTCTCCAAGTGAATATTTTGCCACTTGTTTAATAGTATTTATTACTTTATCCCACGTAAAATTAGTTTTTTCATGAACTTTTCGAATCTTAAAATCTTGAAGTTTACTCATAAAAATAATTTTGTTTGTCTTTTACAAAAAAATTGTTTTCAAGAGGTATTGTTTGTATTAATTCTTCTCGGTTATTTAAAAATTTTTCTCTTAAACCTATATCTAAACTTACTCAAGTGGCATACATACTTATAACATTTAAAATCTCTGTATCAATAATAATCTTTAAAGTTATAATTTTATCTCAAATTTTATTAATTTATACAACATTATGTTTCAAAATCTTATCTATATTTACACATACACCATTTTTAATACGACTCATAACTGAATACCTAAGTTTAAAACACAAGGTATTAATCCATTTAGCATTTTTTTCCAACTTTTTTAGTATTGTGAATGCATAAGCAATTTAGCGTCATATGAACCATAATATCTACTAATTTCATTAATTTACCTTTAAGAGTTCCTATATTCCAAGATCCTATCTTAATATTAGTTTTGTGGATTAACTTCTTTGCTCAAATTCGTCGATAATGTCAAAATCTTTGCTTATTTGACACTAAACATGGGTATCGGTGTAGCGGCCCTCGCATACTTTTCACAGTATTCAAGATTGAGACAAATCACGAAGTACTTGGTCGTTAATAGAGATGGTTGAATTTAGATATTTTGCCACTAATTATATTCACTAGTTAATTAGCTTGCAACCTAGAAGACCAAAAAAAAATCGAAATATTTTCTTTGAGATTGTAATATATATTTTTTTAGATTGGCAAAATCAACTTTGTTTAGGTAATTTGTTCATCGCAAATTTTTGTTTAATAATGTTTTTTTGCAAATTGTGTTTTACCTCATAGATGTTATTATGATCATTTCCACCAAGTAAGATGTCGTGACCATAAATATGTTGTCTGCATGGTGAAGATAGAATGATTCCATGTAGACAAATCTCAGCTAAGATTTTTTAAAATCTCAAACTCAGCTTATGTATTCTGTTTAGGTTCATCAATAGACTTTTAAAGTAGGTGTATATGTGATTTTCCCCTTTGGTAACATTCTCAGGTGCTTACTTGATATAAATTGCCTCTTGTAGTTTATCATAAAGGAATGCGTTACTCGTTTTCATTAAAGCATAGTTCATTTGTGATTGATATAGTTATCTATAAAGAAACATACCAGAGTAGTTAGGTAGGTATCTTATGTGGTGCTAAAATGAACAAC